ATCTTTGTGAAAAGAAATCGTCCATCGTTAAACAGGGGTGGAGGCCTCCAGGTTCAACTGTCCCCCTCTTACAATGCTGTGATTGCTAGTATCACTCAGCCCTCTGTGAACAGTAAACAGCCATCAGTGTGCTAATGATCCATTGTTAGGCTGATGGTCCTTCTTGAGCATGTGATCAGCTGGTTTTGGTTGTCAGCAGCAAAACTGGTTGATCCACTCTGAGACGGTGCTATTTAAGAGACTGAGCTGAATACAGCACCTCAGACTGAGGAAGTCTCTCGGATGAGAGACGAAACGTTTCTATATTTTTTTGTTGTTTTGCTTTGCTTTGTTTTTTTGAATGTCCAGAGGACCAGATTTAACTTTTTTAGATTTTGTCTTCAGTATTCCTGATACAGATGTAAAACAGATGTGAGGCGGATTTCTACCACAACAAAAAGTCATGTTTTTCAGTGGTTTCATAATACTTTGTATATCTTGGAAAGATTGATTTCCTACAACTACAAAAATATGACTATTTCTCCAAAAATATTGCTAAAATTTGTTCTAAATTGTGAGAAAATATTACCTGTACAGTTTTTATTTCTTTTTCTTTATGCTTCCCCAAAATTTCGGCTGTGTCGTGGCTACATTTAGTTGAAAATGTATTTTTCTTCTTTAATTTCGAGTTTTACCTTTTAGAAAATGCAAAAGAAAACAGAGTCTGGAAACAAGAAATTATCTGTACTTTCTTTAATTTTTTTCCATACTTATCCAGACCTGGAAAATACTAAAACATAATCAAGAAAAAGTTTGTTTAGAGCTGGTAATTTACTCTGACGGGTACTAAATATAAAAAACTAATAATAATGATAATAAAGCAGTATCAAATCTACATGAATTACTTTTATGATAGGTTAATGTTTCTGTGTGAGAAGAAAAACAATTATTCTAAACAGAGCTTTGGGAGTTCAGTGCTGCATTGTTGCAAACGTACCTTTTTTGTACATAAGAAGATAAGCCGTGCTCGACCTGTTGTGATGGAGCAAGAACACGTTAGGTCAACGAGAGCAGAATCAATGCAGACAGTAACAGGTGTACAGAATAACTTTATCTTTACTGACCTCGTCAAGTTCTTTTCTAATTCAAAATCATGTTGTTTGACCTGAAAAATTAAATTGTCAGAACATGTTCTGATTTCAATGAGTATACATTTACCTCTGCCAAGATAAAAAAAAAAACATGCCTTACATGTTTAACAGTATTGTCATTGAAGCAGTACCAGTTTCCAGTTTCAAAGGATTTGATTTCTGCAGTGTAGTGACCTCCTGTTAGAAACCCGTAGTGATGGACCACAGCATAGAGGTCATACCTGCAGTTCTAAAGAGAAAAAAATAAATTAAATTCATTAAAGTCCATTAAAAGCTGTTTATGTTGAATTTCCTCAAACAGGGAGGACTGAAGTAGTGAACTTGTTTTTCAAAAAGGCCATGTGAGGGTGCAGTGTTGCAAGATATTTATCTTCCAGGTAAAAAGTCATTTGCATCACTGGGCGTAGAACCAAAATATTTCTCAACAGAACTTATTTTTAACAAGTCTGAGAGTTTGCAGATGTGTCTGGGTCAAACTGACCAGATAGGAATCTGTTGTTCTGTTTTTATCAATGTTTCTCAAATGGGAAAGTACTGATAAGCCAATAACAACATCTGAATGTAGAATGTTTATATAATCCTTTGACATCAATGGAGGGTATAAAAGTGAACAAGAGCTGTGTTGAAGGGAGGTTTTTTTTCTTTCTTTTGTCGGGTGCTCAGCTGTTCGGCCTGCAAGTTTGTTTTTCTTCCAAAAAAACAGATTTTTCACAAGTTTCAAGATCTGTTTTATTTAATCAGTTTGAAGTTTAAATGTAAACTTGAACCACTACAATACCTGCAGTTCTAAAGAGAAAAAATATCAATTCACTAAAAGTCCATTAAAAGCTGTTTGTGTTGACTGTTTAATACCTGAAGGTTTAGAGTTGGGACCACATCAGCTGTGCGATGAAGCTTGATGTAGCGGCTCTGTGTATCATCAAAGGTGAACCTCTTCAACAGCAGTGTCAGAACATCTGGACTTTGTGTCACCTCGTATTTCTGCATCACACAACAAAAAAAACAACTGCATGCAAGAGAGGCAGCCACCATTTTCTGTTACAAAATTATCTAAAACAATGCGTGGCGTACAATATCTGCGTCCTGCTTTTTGTTGCAGATGTCGCAGAACATCTGGTTTTCCTCGCTGACTTTTTGTTCCTTAAAGAAATCCTCCAATCCTTGCTGCTGTGAACACAACATTGGTCCATTGTGCAAAATATATTGGTTTCTATTATGTAAAATGCTGTACAAATGGTAAATCTTATTCTTAGAGAAAATGTAGTACCACGCTGTAGTTTTCACGGCTTGAATTGTCCATTGAAAGAGGAAGAACCCAGAAGAAGCTCTTGAAATTGTTTGTCTTGCTGCACTCACGGCACATGGTTTTATGATTCAGCTCTCCTTTGAAGATCTAAACATACAAGTACAAATACCGCTGTGAATATTTCACATGAAATAACACTTTGTCCTTGCCATAGGAATGCATAGGAAGCAATGCAGTGTACGGCAAAGTCAATTTTACAGCTACAGTAATCCCTAACACATACGCCGGGTGCTAAAAGATCGTTACGATCTGTTTAAAATTCAAGATGGCTGCCACAGCTACCTCACAAACAAAAAAGGCTAATACTCAATCAGTTTTTTAATTTTTTTATTTTGTGAGTATTTTTGCTGCCACATCAGCATTTTGTTTTCTTATTTGTTTATGTTTACCTTTGAGTCTCTCTGAGTTTTGGTTCTGTACTTTGGGTTCCACTTTTCCACTAAACATGATGGTAGCAAAAAAAATTTTTATATAGTCAACATGGCTGCCACAGTTACTTTGGCAAATGACTACAACTCTGTCCATTTTACAGATGATGAGCTAAAGTTTGGTGTGGTGGTAACTGACAGTTTGGATTTGGGACTTGTTTGGGATCTGGCTGCTTTTTTCACTCATTTTCAGCTCAGTCTTTGTACCTGACCATGGCTGCATGTTGTGTAATATGAGAAAAGTGGAATACTCGTATAGACAGAGAAGAAGGAACTCAATGTCCCTCACCCAAATGTGGGTTACTGGGCCCCAGCCTGGAGCCAGGCCTGGGGGAGAGGCTCACGGTAAGAGCTTGGTGACTGGTTCTGTACCCTGATCAGGCTCAGCCCAAATGAGTTACATGGATTTGCCTTCATGTGGGCCACAACCTGCAAGACGGACCATACGAGTCAGGTGCACAGTGCCATGGGTGGTAGCCAAAGTGGGGGGAGGGTGCACATTGGTGCTCTGACACTGGCTTAGGTTGAGAGGTACCGACTATATATAGTCACCTTGATGCACAGCATGAGCTCCGGAACCTATTTTATTTGCCCTTATTCCACTCTGGAGATGCCTATGGTGAGAGGCACTGGTTTGGTGTGAGTCTACTTATTGCCCCCCGACTTGGTGCCTGTGGATTGGAGTTTTTCCAGGTAGGTAAGAGGGTAAATTTCCTACACCTTTGAGTGGGGGGCCAGACTGTGTCTGTTGTTTGTTACTACGCGCTGAACAGTAATTCTGTATACCCAGCCTTCTTAGAGTGAATACCGAGGGGAGGCGGACCAGCTGGAGACTCCTTTATTTTGCTGGAGGACATCAATGCCCACAGAGGTAGCAACAGTGTGACCTGGAGGAGCATGATGGAAAAGAATGGGCACTCTTATCTGAACCTGAGCAGCATCTGTGCACATGGCAACAGGAGGACACTCAAGACCGAAAATCGATGATAGTGTGAGGATCAGTGTCTTCTAGTGTGTGTCTCCCTCTTATGTACGTTCCAGCTCCTCAGTGTTTCTTCCTTGTTAGGGGTGTAACGGTACACGTGGGTGTACTGAACCGTTTCGGTACGGCATGTTCGGTTCGGCATGTTCGGTTCGGTCCACGTGCGTACCGTTTCGGTTATTTTTTCACTCATTAAATTTTATTAACAAAAGATTATGCGCCGCGGAACTAAAGTTCCTAAACGTGTTTCAGCACGGCGCTATTATCTTGCAGCACGTGCGGCATTAGCATTAGCTTCTCATTGTGGTCTAAAAAAGTTAAATCTGGTCCTCTGAACATTCAAAAAAAAAAAAAAAAACAAAGCAAAAAAAAATATAGAAACGTTTTGTCTCTCGTCCGAGAGACTTCTTCAGTCTGAGGTGCTGTTTTCAGCTCAGTCTCTTAAATAGCACCTTCTCAGAGTGGATCAACCAGTTTTGCTGCTGACAACCAAAACCAGCTGATCACATGCTCAAGAAGGACCATCAGCCTAACAATGGATCATTAGCACACTGATGGCTGTGTACTATTCACAGAGGGCTGAGTGATACTAGCAATCACAGCATTGTAAGAGGGGGACAGTTGAACATGGAGGCCTCCACCCCTGTTTAATGATGGACGATTTCTTTTCACAAAGATGGCCTCCTTTACTCCTCTCTCAAACCATCGTTCCTCTCTGTCCAGGATGTGAACATCTTCATCCCTGAAAGAGTGACCGCTGGCCTGGAGATGAGTGTAGACCGCAGAGTCCTGGCCTGATGATGTTGATCTTCTGTGCTGGGCCATCCTTTTGGCCAGTGGCTGTTTAGTTTCCCCGATGTAAGACTGATCACAGCCCTCCTGACACTGAACAGCATACACAACATTACTCTGTATGTGCCGGGGGACTGGATCTTTGGGATGAACCAGTCTTTGCCGTAATGTATTTTGGGGTTTAAAAGCCACTGGGACGTTATGTTTAGAAAATAAACATCTCAGTTTCTCTGATACTCCCTCAACATATGGAATGACCACTGTTCTGGGTCTGGGTTCCTCCTTTTCACCTGTTGGCTGACTGGAGTCCTGTTTGGGTTTCTTCTCTGCTTTTAGGAAGGCCCAGTTAGGATATCCACATTGCTCTAGAGCCTGTCTTGTGTGGGATTTCTCCTTCTGCCTGGCTCCTGAGCTAGTGGGGACGCTGTCTGCTCTGTGATACAGAGTCCTGATGACTCCTAACTTGTGCTCCAAAGGGTGATGGGAGTCAAACTGCAAATACTGGTCTGTGTGGGTGGGTTTGCAGTACACCTCAGTTTGCAAATGTCCTCTAAGGATGGCCCAGCACAGAAGATCAACATCATCAGGCCAGGACTCTGCGGTCTACACTCATCTCCAGGCCAGCGGTCACTCTTTCAGGGATGAAGATGTTCACATCCTGGATAGAGAGGAACGATGGTTTGAGAGAGGAGTAAAGGAGGCCATCTTTGTGAAAAGAAACCGTCCATCATTAAACAGGGGTGGAGGCCTACGTGTTCAACTGTCCCCCTCTTACAGTGCTGTGATTGCTAGTATCACTCAGCCCTCTGTGAATAGTAAACAGCCATCGGTGTGCTAATGATCCATTGTTAGGCTTATGGTCCTTCTTGAGCATGTGATCAGCTGGTTTTGGTTGTCAGCAGCAAAACTGGTTGATCCACTCTGAGAAGGTGCTATTTAAGAGACTGAGCTGAAAACAGCACCTCAGACTGAGGAAGTCTCTCGGACAAGAGACGAAACGTTTCTACATTTTTTGTTGTTTTGCTTTGTTTTGGGTTTTTTTGAATGTCTAGAGGACCAGATTTAACTTTTTTAGATTTTTCTACCTGGATTATTGAGCATGCATCAGGATATTCTCATTGTGGTCTCCTGTTGGGGAACATTATGTCTTTCTTGTTAAAAGACAAGTGAACAAATCCAAAGCTGTGTGTCGACGTTGTTTCACGGAGAGTGGATCTGCAGCAGCAACACGTCCAACTTGTTAACATGCTTGAAACGACATTATCCAAACGTGAACGTCTCTTCTAGCAGCTTGGTGCAAAGACCGATAGCAGCAGCATTTAAAGAACCTTTATCAGGTAATTCAGATCGGTCCAGAGCAATAACACAAGCTGTAGGAGTTTTTAAAGCTCTGGATCTACGTTTCTGTTGTTGATGCGCCCGCTTTAAAGTTATTGATCCCCGCTACGACATCCCATCACGTCAACACTTCAGCCAAAAAGTTGTAGCATCACTTTATGAAAAAGCTAAAACCGATCGTCAACAAGCCCTGGACCAAGTTAAAGTCCTGCCCTGATGACGATGATGATGACCGAGAGATTCAACCACCTCATAACAACCATTCAAGAAGAGGTATTGTTATTTTATTATTATTATTTAATTAACTTTTTTAAATTTAAAATTATAATCTTATTAACTCTTTTTTTTTTTTACCTATTTGTGTTTTATTTCTAGTCTGGGACAGAGATAGCAGCTGAGTCTTCTTCCTCTTCAGGGAAATCCACCAGAGATCACCTCCAGCTAAGAAGTCTGTGACGAGTGAACTCTGAACTTTTCCAGGGACCTGTCCCACCTGTGGGAGCAGGTCCAAGAAGAGACTGTGAGTAATGATGAGGCCAAATACATCAACTGCAACATTAGCAAAGCTCTATTTCTTTATTCCTGCTACTGTTGTTAGTGAGTGGTTTCCTCCACCACTGGAGATGATGTCACTGCAACTAGATCTGAGCTTTTGGTAGAAAATGTGGACAAGTTGGTCTTTTTGTCCAAAAACTTAAAACTTGATTAGTTAGATTGTAAACAATCTGTTGCTGCTTATTGTTCTGGTTCTGACTGTTATTGTATTTTATTAAGATTTTTATTATTGTTAGTATATTTTATTTATTGTAAAGAGTGCCTTTTATTTAAAATATCATCTAAATGAGTCACTTTTATTTATTTTTATACAAATGTATTGTTTACTTGGCATATTTTCAAAATAAACGTTTTGTAAGTCTTCATTTTGTCTTTTTTTTGTACCGAAAATTAACCGAACCGAGCCCTCCCTGAAACTGAACCAAACTGAAATGTGATTTTAGCGTACCGTCACACCCCTTACTCCTTGTGATCACCTCCTGCCTCTGCCACCTGTTGTCCTTCTCCAGGTGTTTGTGTTTATCCCCTTGTTAGCATGTGTGTATACAAGTCTGTGTCTCTGTGTTCCTCGCTCTCTGGACAGTTCCCTGTCTAGCTCCATGTTCCATCTTCCCTCCTTGTTCCCAGTGTCATGTTAAGTTTGCTGCCCCGTCAGCCTTTTGTTTTCTTTAATAAATTATCTCTTATTCTCAGAGTCCTCGTGGTCTGCCTGCGCTTGGGTTCGACATGTGACCATCAGAACACGATAGATAGACTTTATAGTCATAACATCTTATCTTCGGCTGTATGTTTTGGACACTTGGGTGAAGAGAGAAGATGAACTGTCAACTGAGTTGGACCAGATGGAAGAGGTTGAAAAGACCCAGGAGACCCAAATGTATAGTGAGGGTTTATTGGGAATGCCAAGCAGAAGAATCGGTCAGAAGGACCTTCAATACACCTCAGAGGGAACTATAACCACATCCCAGCTGAGGCGGGGGACATAGAGTCAAACTGGGATCCTGGACGCCTCCCTAGGGAGGTTTCCAGGAATATCTGACTGGGAGAAGACCCAGGGGAAGAATCGGGGAAAGAACCAGTGCACGCAGGAGAGACTGTCTCTCAGTTGGCCTGGGAACGCCTTGGAGTCCTCCCAGAAGAGCTGGAAGAGGTGGCTGTGGAAAGAGATGTCTGGGTCTCTCTGTTTAAGGGGCTGGCCCTGCAACTCAACTTCAGAACAAGTGGAAGATGATGGACGGACTGACAGAAGAAAAGTGGAGCAGAGGAAGGAAAAAGGACAATTTCAAGTCTAAAAAAAATATTTATCCAGTGAACAGTATCTATACAAGAATATAATGAGAATCTACCGTAGAGGCTTCTGAACTGGTCTGACAAAGAATCTTCTCAAAGTACTCAGCAGCATCACGTTGTTCGTACACTGAGAAGAGAGGTGAGAGGAAAAACAAATGTAATTTCATCTCACAGTTTATTTAGACGCCATGAAACCAGAACCATACCATCTATGATGCCCAGCTGTTCTGTGACGTTGTGAGTTTCGGCCCTCCTTCTCTCTAATTCACAGAACAGCTGTTCCAGGTGTTGGTCAAGAGCTGCTGGCTGTTTACTGCAACGTCTGTGACACAGTCAGAAGAATCAGCACCCAGCAAAGTAAAGACAGATCATTATTCAGGACTTAACAACACTTTTTCTCCATGGTGACAGACAACTAGTTGTTCACGTGCAAAAGAAGGACCATCAGCCTAACGATGGATCATTAGCACACTGATGGCTGTTTACTGTTCACAGAGGGCTGAGTGATACTAGCAATCACAGCATTGTAAGAGGGGGACAGTTGAACCCGGAGGCCTCCACTTCTGTTTAATGATGGACGATTTCTTTTCACAAAGATGGCCTCCTTTACTCCTCTCTCAAACCATTGTTCCTCTCTGTCCAGGATGTGAACATCTTCATCCCTGAAAGAGTGACTGCTGGCCTGGAGATGAGTGTAGACCGCAGAGTCCTGGCCTGATGGTGTTGCTCTTCTGTGCTGGTCCATCCTTTTGGCCAGTGGCTGTTTAGTTTCCCCGATGTAAGACTGATCACAGCCCTGACACTGACCAGCATACACAATATTACTCTGTTTGTGCCGGGGGACTGGATCTTTGGGATGGACCAGTCTTTGCGTAATGTATTTAGAAACGTACATATAAAACAAAACGTTTCAGGAAGAAGAACCCATCCGGAGGACCTGACTTAACCTTACTAGATTTATCTACATGGATTATTGAGCATGCATCAGGACATGTTGTCACTTGTTGTTTTTTACAACCACAACCCAACCTTTGGGCAATTTAAAACTGTTAAAAAGAACGTTTTTGATGGTCTTGTTTGAGCCAGAATACAGTATTTTCACTCCAAGCCACTGAAATAAGTGAATTTTGTTTGTAGAGCAGCAACAAGTCTTGGCTACTTTAGTAAAACTATTATTTCTATTAGGGATGCACAATATTATCGGCATGGTATCGGTATCAGCCGATATTAGCGTTAAATTTCAATATCAGACATCGGCCATTCCATTAAAATACCTTGCTGATATAAAAGGCGCTGCAGCACAACGTGATGACGTCACGTGCGCCTACCCGAGCTCACGGCAGAGAGGACAATTCAAAATGTCTGTGGTGTGGAAGTTTTATTTTTCGTTGGTGAGGATGTCGGATTCCGAAGATTTATGGACTACGTTGAGCCTCGCTACATCGTCCCCAGTCTGAGATATTTTTCTGACGTAACGTTACCCGAGTTACAAGCCGTCGTTTCCGACATCATTAAGAAGCTAATAGTCGATGGCACGACTTGTTGGGTGAGTTTTACCACAGACATTTGGACGTCGTGTTAGCCCCGTTAGCATGATTAGTCTCACGGCAACAACAGAGAGACAAAAACTTTGAACTTAAAAAGGCTGTCCTTCACGCACAGGAGTGCAGAGGATCCCACACTGCACCTAGAAACCTGGAACAAGCCTCCACAAGTGAGACAGCTCTGACAAAGGAACGTACATAAAATATTGGTATCGGCATCGGTTATGGCCAAATAAGTTTTAACATATCGGCATATTGGATATCTGCCAAAAATCCAGTATCGTGCATCACTAATTTCTATTGTTGTCTGAAAAACAACACTGGAATAGCCTCGATTATGAAGAAGTTTTACAGAAAGTTTACAAACTTATTAAGACGGCAACACCAACTCTAAACATATTTTTACTTGTATAAAACACAAAACCAAATCTTGTCCGACCTTTTCACGGCCTCTCTAAAGTCTTCAGTCATGAACAGAACCTGCAGCACACTGTTCAGATAGCACGTCAGACCCGGACTCTTCAGGCCATAATAATCTGAAAACAGAAAGGAAGACCTGTCACATCATCTCTCGCGCACTGTGCATAACCTGAATGTTTTTACGTGGTTTAATTTTACTCCACAGCACCTACCAGAGACGGACAAGTTCTCAAGTTTCCTTCTGAACAGTTTTACAAGATTTCGGTCTATGCTGCTGGATTCCATATAAATCGTCGGACATTTTTGCATTTGAATATTTTTACACGTTCAAATTCATCCTGTTGAGACACGACAGATGGAGCAGATGTTGAATCATATCAAACAAATTCACAAGTTAGTAAAAAATAAAAAGGAAAGTACCAACAGAATTGGCAGAAAAGGTCACGGTTTGGTCATTTTATGGACTGACAATCATTTCACTTTGACTGACGACCGTGTAAGAACAAAACACACAATGTTCTATATAAAGAAGCACAACTCCATCCATCCATCCATTTTCTTTACCCGTTTATTCCATTTTGGGTCACGGGGGTCACTGGTGCCCATGTCCAGCAATCACTGTGCGAGGGGCGGGGTACACCCTGGACAGGTCGCAAGTCCATCACAGGGCCACATAGAAACAAACGAGACAAACAACCATTCACTCTCTCATTCACACCTAGGGACAATTTAGAGTTACCAATCAGCCTAACATGCATGTTTTTTTTGGACTGTGGGAGGAAACCGGAGTACCCGGAGAAAACCCACGCATGCACGGAGAGAACATGCAAACTCCACCCAGAAAGGCCCCTGGACCGGGGTTTGAACCAAGGACCTGCTCGCTGAGAGGCAGCAGCTCTACCAGTTGCGCCACCGTGCTGCCCGAAGCACAACTCTTCTTTTTGAATTTGTTCTTTTACACACACACTAATACATGAATGGTGGCAGTATCGATCATTTACAAAAAAGCCGTACGTTTCAGAAACTTTTTCGCTCAGGAAATTTTAGGTTTCTTTTAAAGTATCAAAACCCAGAGGTAGCTTAACAGTTTAAACTGAAGACTGACAAACACTATTTATTATTTAAGAATTAATACTTGCTCTATTAAGTTTCACCTTAAAAATATATTTTTTAAATTATTCTTGCAAATGCTCCCTTCTTCAGGGATCACCACAGAGAACTAACTCGCACAAATACTGAACATGACAGGGAGCCAATGGAGAGAAGCTGAAACTGGAGAGATCCATCTGTCTATACAACACAGTACTGTCCCAGGTGCTTGGAAAACAGCTTTTGTGCTGCCATTAGTACTGAAGGGAGGAGACCCCACTATTTTTGAATTATCGCCCAATCGCCAAACTCTGTATTTTAGCTGAGGTTTTAGAAAAACTGATAAATACTCAAACCAAGAAGTATTTGGACTCAGTATTTTATCTTCTCTCCAATCTGGCTTCAGGAAACTACACAGCACAATGACTGCTTCACTAAAGGTTTTTAATGATGTTGTTGAAGCTTTGGATGCTAATGATTACTGTGCTGCACTTTACTTAGACCTGTCCAAAGCCTTTGATACTGTAGATCATGACATCTTATGCCACAAGCTCTCAGATATTGGCCTCTCAGATCACACTGTTGGCTGGTTCTAAAACTATCTCACAGGTCAGAGGCAATGTGTTCGACAGAACGGTATTTCATCTAGCTACCTAACGATCACCAATGGTGTGCCACAAGGCTCAATTTTAGGTCCCACTCTTTTTACAATTTATATAAATAATGTAGGTCAAAACATTCCTGACGCATCCTTGCATATCTAAGACACTGTTGTTTATTGCCAAGCTAGCACGGTTGCCAAGGTTTTCCAGCTTCTGCAGTCTGCATTTGACATCATTCAGATTTATTCCATCTGAAGCTGGTCCTAAATGCTGACAAAACCAAAGGGATGTTGTTTTCTAACAGAAAGTCAATGACAGCAACTCTTCCTCCTATCTCATCGATGCATGGTGTTCCTATTGAGTTTGTAGTTACTTACAAATACTTGGTAAAATGCCGTCAGTGCAGTTGGAACATGCGCTATCAGGCCATCATTACCTGCAGCGTTTTATTATTATTAACCTTTTTTAACCAGGCAAATCCCATTGAGATCACAGATCTCTTTTGCAAGGGAGGCCTGAGCCTGAAGGCAGTCTAACATGCATGTTTTGTTCTGTGGGAGGAAACCCAAGTACCCGGAGAAAACCCACGCAAGCACGAGAATAACATGCAAACTCCACACAGAAAGACCCCAGAGCCAACCAGGGATTGAACCCAGGACCTTCTTGTTGTGGGGCAACAGTACTAACCACTGAGCCATCGAGCGTTCCCTCAGTGTGGACTAAACTTGGCAAAAATACCTTTTCCTACTCAGTTCCTGTATCCTGTAACACCTTGCAACAAGAACTGAAGTTGTCCTCCTTGATTTCTTTAAGGGGTTTCAAACATTTGATAATGTCAATAGAATAATCAAAGCAGATACGTTCTTGATTTTAGTATTTCACCGTTTTATGGCACCTTGATTTATTGTTTTATACACTACTCTTATTTTAACTGCATTTGTACTGTAGTTTATTGTTGTCATTGTTTACTGTTATTGTTGTCTGTACTTTATATGTTCTGTCTGGAACAGGTTTCTCTTGTAAATGAGTCCACGTGGCTCAATGAGACTAGCCTATATAAATTAAAGGTTGAATGAATGAATGAAAAATAGGATCTCTCTTACTAACTATTCTTGTTCTAGAATTGCGCCGCTCAAGGTGGCTGCATGTTGGAGCAGCTCTGTTACTTTCATTCTGAGATTTTGCTTTTGGAAACTTTAATTCCTCTTTTTCTGGATGTAAAGCACATTTTTTGGATGATTATTTCCTCTGGTATCAGATGCTGTGCAGCTGGAAGGATTTTTACTGAAACTTTTTTAGTTTTGGACATTTGTTATGATGCGTAACCATGGCAACGAGGCAGTTTTCTACAACCAACAGCAGCTGATTAACATCTCAAAAGCTCAAATAATATCTCAACTACAGCCCCAAATCTCAAATGAGTTGAAAAGGATGTTCTGTGAATGCATTCCCATCTACCTGCCAGCTGTGCTCGAGTGCCTGACCACTGAGATCCTGGAACTAGCAGGAAACATGGCTCACGACAGTGGAAGGACAGGATCGTCCCTCAGCACCTACAGCTGGCTGTCCACAGTGACAAGGAGCTTGGCAGACTGCTGGGAGGAGTGGCCATCGCTCTGGGAGGAGTTCTGCCCAGCATTAAGGTGGTCCTACAGCCCGGGGGAACCGAGAGGCCAGCCGAGTCTGGGTGGACGGATCGGACGGCATCTGCTGCCAGTTTCTTAGGATCTACTGTGGGAAAGACCTTTACAAGAGATCCTTCCTGTCTACAGCCATCAGCATCTATAACATCTCTTAATGAAACGAGGATAACGAGTTACAACAACAAATAATTTCCCTTTGGGATTAATAAAGTATTTTTGAATTTGAATTGAATTAACTCCAGTTAAGACTCTGGCAGCAGCATTTTGGATTAACTGAAGACTTTAAAAAAGTATTTGGACACCCAGATAACAAACCATTGCAACAGTCCAGCATAGATGTAACAAATGTAAGAACCAGTTTTTCTGCATTACTTTTAGATGTTTCTAATTTTAGTGATATTATGCAGGTGGAAGAAGGTGGTTCTGGTTTAGAGTAAGTACAAGTGTTGTAATTATACTGATCAAATCCTGAAAATATTGCACAATATTGTGAGATCCTGTGTGATCTGTTAGCACTCAGATTATGTTAAGAATGACTCTCAGCACAGCACATTCTAAATCTAGCTCATTATTTGTAAAGACTTATTTATAGCTGGCTTAAGTAACGTCTACTAGCTGTGGTGGCCATCTTGAACTGGGTTGCCTCCAACAGTCAGTCAGTTGTGGTATCCTTAGATAATTACTACTACCGGTAATTGGCTTTTTTAATGGATGTGACTGTTTCTGTTCCGTGCCCGGACACAACTTCTGTTGTGACTTGGCGCTATATAAACAAACTGAATTCCATTTAATTGAATTACGCATCCAATGCTTACATACCGAGAGATTCATTCAAATCCGCCCACAAGTTCATGAGATATTTTGCTAACAAACACAGTGTTGACTAACAGGTATGTGCAGCCCTTGTGACTGGCTCTCAGCTACTACCATACTAATTGTGAGCTCAATTTTTGTAAAGTTGACCAGGTTAGAGCCATTGTTGCTGTCAGTTAGCTGTGGCGGCCATCTTGATTTGAGTTGATGTCAAAATTGTTGAGGTACATCCAAAGGTTACTTTTAAAGATTTATCCAACCAAACACTTTCTTCAGAAATATAAAGCTGATATTGATATTTCCTGTTCATTCTGTAAGCTTTATCCAGAAACATCTTTTTTGGAAGTGTACATACTCACAGAACTTTTGGAAGGACATTGTTGCTCTGATATCCAATAATATCCAATCAGGTTTCCTTCTCTATTTTGAAAATGTTATGTTTGGTATCCTAGAGTTCAAGACGAAAAACTCCTCTCACGTATTTATTATCAATCTGATCTTGTTACTTGCTAAGTTTCATATCCATAAAAATAAAATAACGCATAGGAAACCTTTTTTTGATCTCTTTGTAATGGATGTAAAACTGTATCTTGACTCAATCTTAGACTCAAATAACAAAAAGGCTACAAAAAAAAAAAAAAAAAAAAAAAAATATATATATATATATATATATATATATATATATATCTAATGAATACAACTTAACTTTGTAACTTGCATGTATTAATGTTTGTATTTTTATTTATTTATTTTATTATTATTATTGTTTGCTTCCTTTTTTCTTCTTTTTTGATATGTTCAATGTTATTTAATGAGTTTTTTTTTTTTAGATTATTGTATTTGAAGTAAAGTTCTAAATAAAGATTTGAAAAAAAAAAAAAAAAGATTACTTTTAAAGATTGTCAATAAAATGTGTTCCCTGGTTCGTTTTGCTAACAAACAAACAAATAAACAAACAAACACACGACAAAAACCCATTAGCCCCTTTTTGCCTTCAGCGACGGGCGAACCCTAAACGCACCAAATTTGTAACGAAGGATTTTTTTTACGTGATGACCCGTAATATTTAATTCACTACTGCTTTTAACTTTACGTGACATAA